ACTAATGAAGCTCAAATTTCATATTTATTTATTATTTATGTTTATCCATCAACCGTAAAACTTTTAAACAAATCAAACACATGAAGTGTGAACCCCGTCCATTTTGGTATGGTACGTCCCATATACTTATATCTGCAATATAGCGGGAGTACCAATTTGGCAGGTTAAAACATAACCAAAGATCAAAGAAAATAACAATGCTGGGTACGTTTATGACTCCCTTATAATCTATGTTCTTTGTGATAACGAACGTTTAAACGAAAAATCGTTTTTGGACCAGAGTACAGCAAGATTCTTATTAAATTAATAAAGAAAATACTGAAAATCGGTTTTTTATTGATACTAATATGAAAAATCGGGACACTTATACTATTTTCTCAAGATCGGCACTGTCCCGCCAAAATCTGTAGGAATAGTCACCCTATATACATACATACGTATATGTAATGGATGATGAGTGCTGCTTATCAGCCGTTGACTATGTTGCCGTGTTTTTTCTTGCGGGGATGCTCACTGGCCTTCTAGCGTTCCATAAGCCTAACTTTCTAATAAAATTTTCGGCTGTTTTCCAGTCGGCCAGCTTTCTAAGCCCTTTTCACTCATCGTTTTATTTATGATGGAAAATTTGTCTTGCGTCCTAATTCCGATTGCTATATCGATTCCACGTAGCTCGAGTTTCGCCCGATCACAGCGTAGCCCTGTAGACGGCACCTTTTTCCTCTGCAGCTTCTTGGCACTCCTCATCGTACCAGTTGTTCTTTCGGGCTCCCTGAAATCTAACTCCGTTTCTGATGGTTCGACTGATCGCAAAAGTCGGTTTTTTGAAGCGAGCTCTCCGAGGGCAGGTGTGAATTGTAGAGCGACGAATAAATTGCCGTCGGTTTTGATTGCAGCTATTTGACTTTCAGCTTTCCTTGCATTGCTGGACGTTCACAGAGGCGTATCTTGATTGCAACAAGACAGTGGTGCAAATCCATGTTTCAGTAAAAAAAGGTTACATAATTATTGACAGCGGCGGTTTGGCACTCACTTACAAAAGTTTGCATTTACGAAGGACGGAGAAAGAGGCAGATTGAAATACCCTGGTGTGAAAACTGCAGTAGAAAAGTACGCAAAGTAGTCACTTAGTAGTAAAATTCCATTTCTAAATTCTAATGTATTTGCAGACATTTTGGCATTTGAATCGAAATTTTGAACGAAGTATTAAGACATCTACGTGAATTATGTAGTTTATGTGCAATTTAGCAGTATAAAAATTGCAAAAGTGCTCAAAATTAAAACAAAACTGCCATTAGTTTTATGCATGCATGGAATTTAAAAACTATTTTATCATATACAAATAAACATATTGCACAAAAACGAATACTTTATTTCATACGTACGCTACACTTTTTGAAGTAAATTGGCAAAGAAGCAACACGGTGCCACTGCTAATGGAGTGGTGGGAGAGAGACAACAGTCTGTTTATCGAACCGTTAATTATTAAATCACGGTACAAATTGATGTTTGCTCTGCGGACCGATCATATGTATGTACGTCAAACACACTGTCTTCCATCTATTACAATATAATCGATTTGGGGTTTTTTTCGATCACATGACAGCCATCTACTTTAATGGAACTTATTATGCTGGAGCTTAGTGCTGCAGACTACCACGTTTCGTCTTCGATGCGGAATGCTCCGACGCTGGGAACAAATATGAGGGGATGGCCCACGCAGCATTTGAAATCGCCAAGCACGAGGAGGTCTTTGGGCGTCTCATACCTCTCATCTGTTGGAGCGTGGTCGCAACCAGCAAATAAATAAAAATATGCAAGTAAGGTTTAATTCCTTAATTTAAAAGCGCGTAGACAAAAAAAAAAAAATGCTCACAGTAAATATCCAGTTTAATTCCGTTAGAATTGGAACAAAGTGCAAATAATTCATTTTTGAAAATTGTAAATAAATTGACCTAATCACATTACCGCACAGACACTAGACAAATTCTTTCCCATCAATACTACATACAGTGTAGCATACTTACATACTCATACATAATAGCCATGTGTTCGTACATACAAAGAATATGTGTTCCACGAGAGGCAACCAGTGCGCAACCAATAAGCATTTAATTTAAGTATAATTGCATACAGAAGTGTAGATTATCATCTATTTTTGCCATTCATCCATATGTATGTGCATATGTATGTATGCAAGTATAAATATGTTAATGCTTTTGTGACTGCAAGCACACTTCAATAATAAATTGCCTAGCCACAACAAAGTCAATATTGAGCAAGTGATTTATTTCATTTGTTTCTTATTTCGGGTGGCTATTCAATAGGATCTCCCATTCTTGTAATATTATGTACATATGCATACATGTGATTTTACATACGTACTGCAATACATGTAAGTAGCGTACTTGCGTAATTATAAAAGCAATAATAATTTTTATTTACATTTTTACGAATTATTCAGTGGCTGGAAAATCACGCCAAAACCACAATAAAGCATATCAGCCCGAGTAAATATTTTTGTGCGTGAGGATACCAAAGGCACGCATCCATATCCATTATGTAAAGGAATCCTTTACACTAGGGCGGGTCTATATTTTGTAATTACTATGCGCGTGTAGTATTGGAGGATTCTACGTGTAATTTTTAGCAAATTTGCCGAAGAAACTAAGTGTCTAAAATCAATTTGAAGCTTGCCAAATTGCAAAAATAGTTTTCGAAGAAAATGTGAACAGTTTCACTGTTGCGCCCTCTGGGGGAAGTTTTAAGAAAAATATGAGTGCAGAAATGGATCCCATATACCAAAAAACCTCTATGGCATGCTTTGATACAAAATTTAGGCACTTCTTTGCGACACTATAGCAAAATGCTATTACAGCTATTTTCGTAATTTGGCAAACTCCAAATTGGTTTTAGTCGGGAGGATTTCTTCGAAAAAATTTGCTTAGAATTACCCATAAAATCATTCGGTGCTATACGCGCATAGCTCAAAAATCACCCATACAAATTGACCCTCCCTAGTATACACATATCGCTAGCTTAGAGTGAAAACTTGTTTAGTCCACTGTTTATGAAAACTCATATTTTGATACAGCAGATTAGAGAGATTAAAAATGAATCGTTTCGAAACGGATAAAGTCCAAAGAAGCGCCGAGAACCCGATAAGGCCAGAATAGCACGAAATCTTTTAATAAAGATCGAATCCTTTTGCTTTAAACACGCAAAATGCTGTATTAAAATATTTACGAATTGCATACTTGAAGAAAATGGCAATAAGACGTTTTTTCCTCTCCTGTAAAATTTATAAAATTGGACTTTGCCACTTTTCACTCAAAGCCAGTGATATGTATGTATGTTCATTAGGGTGGTAAAATAAAAAAATCTAGAAAGGTTAAGCTCTCAACCCCTGGGTGTATCATTTTTAAGGCAAGCTTTCTAAATATGAACGAAATCGGACCATACATACATAAATACATACAGAGCAAGTTAAATAAAAGCTTGTAAAAATACCCGTATTGTTTGTAAAAAATTATGTTTAGAACTGCCTCAAAGCCCCTGAAGTTTTCCATGTATTTTATATGGGGAAAACACTTTTTTGTAGAAATCATAAAGAATTCTCGAAAATCAATATTTTACAAACGGAAAACTCTGTTTCTCTCCAGAAGTCTTACAATAATAATACTCAACTGTTTATTCTACCATTTTTACAATAGTAACAATTTTTTTTGGACCCCCGTTGCATTTTTGGTGTGTGTACATACCTACATACATATATGTTTTTTATGCTATATAAATGAAGTGAGCGTATGAATACTTGCAATCACTGACATACAAAACAAAACCATGCGAGTGTACTTGTAAACATTTTTACATATGTAGCTACTTATGTATGTTGACCGCTTTGATGGTGGCGGTCAATTGAAAAACTAATATAAAATACCAAATATTTTGCTACAATAACCACAATAGCTCCTGACACAAGAGATACACACACACATGCATATGTACATATGTATGTTTTCATTCCAATAAAATTTTATTTTGTAAATTTCCATCCTTTTGCACGCAGGATTTATGTATATATGTAAATACAATAGCATAGGAACAATGTTTAATAGAAAGACCAACTTCAAAGAACCGAAAAGGATGGATTACTACTGGGCTTGTAGCCATTGTTTGGTTTATAACTTGTAACAAAAACAACAATAACATAATATAAGAATTTGGCGTTCGCATTTATGCGAGGGATTTTTCAGGGAAGAAGTACCCCAAGGAGCGATCAGAATTCCGACAGGCAATCGCTTTCGATAGTACTCGAAGCTGGAATCAAACCTAGGTCCTACCGCACCTGTAACCACCTGGCTAAGGCGATCGTAAAAATCCAGTCTATAAAGCTATAAAGCGACAGCAAAACAGCCATAGTCAATTGTACTTGGATTTTTTACGATTGCCAATCTACATAATGTTACTATTCGAATAGTTGATTCTCTTCGATTATTCGAATAGACGCAAAGCTACGAACAACTTACTAAATCGAATATTCGATCGGTGTAATAAGCATTACTTGTCAAACAGAATCAATGAACTTCATATATGTAATACTTCTATATTGGCAGTAAGCTATCTTCTCAATGTGTAAGCATTCCGAAATCAAAGCGTGACAGTCTAGTACCGTTTTTATCAATGTATTGTGTACTGGAGTGCCGTTTTTTTATATGTGCTGTCCCAGCCAGCAAGAAAACGTACATTTTACGAACATTATGTTTTACGAGGGATTCTCGTATCGCCAAAAAGTTAGAGAAAAGCTCGTAAACGATAAAACAAAAAAATAATAATAGAAAGAGGCTTGTAGTAATTTGTCAGCACAAGAAAAAATTTTAGTTTTGTTGACAATTTTTCTTCAATCACAATATTTTATAAGTAGTTTGTTAAATATTCAATTTAAGAAAATTTTAAGTATGTGATTTATTGGCAGACTGGTGCAAACGCAAAGGACGATCTAACACTTTCTTTTATAATTAAACTTCTTGTAAGTAGCTACTATATATGTTGNGGCAGACTGGTGCAAACGCAAAGGACGATCTACCACTTTCTTTTATAATTAAACTTCTTGTAAGTAGCTACTACATATGTAATTCAAAAATACAAATTAATGTAACGAGTTTTGCAATTCTTTCACAGGCTGCGCGGAGCAACACTAAAGGATTTAAACGTTTAATTCCCCTATCTCGTAAGTTTATAGTTATTTATTTTTTTAATTTGTTAGTTTATTAGGTCTTTGCAGTTATTAAGCTTAATGTTTTATTAATAATATGGCTTCTCAATTAAAAAGGCGGGCGAAATCCGTAGCCATATCCGTACTAGCGTCAATAAATGATTCATTAAAAACAAATTATTATAGATGAGGTAGCAGAACTTTTCTCGTGGAAGGGAACTGGTACCAAAAGCAGCGCTATTGGTTTGGNTACTTAATTAAATTTTCCGATTTCCAATGGAGCTTAATCTTTCACTTTATTTTCTTAGGTGCTTTTCGTCAAAAATTTAACTCCGACGAAGAAGTTTTTATATTACCGTTTCAAAGAAGCACTTCCAATATGCACACGACCGGCAAAAAAAATTGGCAGCCTATCAGCAAAAAAGATACAAAATAAATTCAGCTACTTTATAATATATATTAAACCCATCTTATTTAATTGTTAATTTGTTAATAGATAGTTTGTTAATATTTATTTATCTGAAAATATCTTCACATATACAGTGCCGGGAAAAAATATTGGCACAGAGAATTTTTCGCCATGAATGCAAAGTTTTTTATCCTGATTCCTTCTCTAATTGTTTTTTATAAAAATATAGTTAGTATGAAGTTCTACTTTCAAATCAGATTTTTTAGAAAATTCTAAGTATGCAGTTTTATAGCCCATTTAATTTTAGTATAATAAAGTGCACGCTTGAATAGCTAGAAAACTTCTTTGTTTTTTGGCAATTTTTTATACGCAGTTTCTTCCATACANAAAAAAAAAAATTCGCACATAATTTGCATGGAAGAAACTGCGTGAAAAAATTGCCAAAAATCAACGCGGTTTTCTGGCAACTTCAATCTTGCACTACGTTATACTAAAATATAATGGGATATAAAACTGCATACTCAGAATTTTTCTCAAAAATCTGATTCGAAAGTAGGTCTTCATACTAACTATATAAAAAAAAAAAATGTGCGAAAAGAAATTCAGGTAAAAAACTTTGCATACATTGCGTAAAATTCTCTGTGCCAATACTTTGATACGGCACTATAAATATTTATTAATTATAATTCCATTCAATAAAAGAACTACAATAATTTGAATTAATTAATTGCCTTTATTTTTAGCATTCAAAAACAGTAGATAAAGCAGTGTAAACTTTTTTAACGTAAATTAATCGTTTACGAGACTCGTTTACAATTAAAAAACGGACGTAAAAATATTCGCATACGAATGCTTTTTCGATCCGTTTACGAGTGTTCGTAGGCGATGCACAATTTAAAGCGAAAAAGTGCTCGAAAAAGAGTCGTAAACGGCTATCATAAACGATTTTGAATCCGGTTTTTCTTCGAGAAAATATCCAATTACGAGCTTGTTTACGATGATTTTGCTGGCTGGGGTTTACATGTTTATTTATAAACGTATGTGTTCCTTTTCTTTCGAACGTGTTTATTGATATATCTGTACTGTAGTGTTTTCGGACGGTACTAGCTCTTACTGCCAATATAGGAGTATTACATATATGATGAACTTATAACCTACTCATTTATGCCGTTGCTTAGTAACTACAATATTTTCTCAAAACAAAACAAAAAGTGACGGGTAGGACCATGATCAAATTAGTATAATGTTTTTATCATGAATGGGACATTTCACTCGTTTTTGCTCAAACTTTAAGTAATTTCTCTGTAACCATTAATTTTATTAATTTGAAGTCAGATATCCGTTTAATTAGAAACTAATAAAGTATAAAAGTTAATCATATAATTTACATAGAAAATTTACATTTTTCAAAAGTGACGGGTGGGACTACGATGACATCCGCTTCTCTGAGTTGTTGGATTCGTTTACGAATTTGAGACAAACTATAAATATTTTGTTCAGCGCACTTTTCTCGTATGAGGCTAATAGAATGTTAAAGTCCATTTTGTGCTTTGTATTTTTGTAATTACTTACCATCATTGTAATGCCCGTGAATTGTACTTTTTTTGGATAATATTTTTTTGCATTGTCACTTTTGATGCACCAGGTGGAATGCCTTGACAACTGTATGAAACAATTTCCTATCACAGATTGTTACACTATGGCTGGGTATATAACAATAATAATCTGCTTTTTTACAGAATTAAACACAATCTATGTAATTTATTATTATTTTTTATTTGTGTTGCCGCCTTTGCTGGAATAACCCATCTTCATACTTTTCAAGTAAGTTAAGTGTGTACATACATACATACATATGTATACATATATATACATATCTACATGTCGTTCAATATTCGAATAATCGCGCACCAGTTATTAAATATTCGAAAAATTGACAACGAGCAATTTTTCGAATAATCGAGCAATTTATTCAAATAATCGATGGTGGGCGATTACTCGAATGCAGTTAATCGATTCGGGCATCATATTCGAATAATTCTAATATTCGATTAATCGAATATAAAGAGCTCCAGTTTTGAAGCCGTGACCAACAACTCAGCAGTCGAACATGGATCCATTCGGCTACAGCAGCTGTTGGTTTGTTTGTGGCTTCAAAACCACACATTATCCACTCGCTTACATTGCGAAGCACCTTTCGTTCAACCGTAGTTGTTAATATTTTCTTGGTAGAAAAGGGTAATGCATTCCCATATTCCCACTGGGTCTGCATGCTTGGTATATAAAGTTTTCATTTTTACTTTGCATTATTTCCCTCAGTGTAGATGTTTGACCGGATTCCGACATTCTTTCAGAACTTGCCAGTTCCCTGGCGCATCCAAATGTTGTTTAATATAGGATAAGATCTCATCCATTAGTGCTGGGATATGCTTTCTAAAGTATCTGGGGCCGTTCTGCTTAAAGCAGTGAAAAAATGCTTTTCACTTTTTGTGAATTTTTTAATATTTTGATATATGAAGCAAGAGAAATTAAAAAATCAACCTTTACAAAAGAGTTAAAGTCCTTGTTTTAAATGTTACCGGTTATCCTCAAATGTGCTTTCCAAAAAGGGGCACCGAATTTTCGATAAGGCAAAAATAATACGAAATCTCTTTTACGAACATCGAATCCTTCTGGTTCGTGTCGAGTTTTGATTTCCTTTAAACTCGCAAAATTTTGTAATGAAAGATTCTAAAATTCTCGAAGAAAATGACTTTAAGAAGTTTTTTTCTCCCATGTAAAATTAAAAAAAAAAAAATGGATTTAACAACTTTTTACTCTAAATCGACCAAAATATCGATGTTAATATAGATTAACGAGTGTCAATGTTATACTGATAAATATCTCACTCACTTGTTCATAATTGTTTCCACTTTTTGATAGAGTTCTCTACGGTGGCGTCGCTTAATAGTTGGCTCCTCCACTTTTTGTATATCTTCATCATTCTTTCTACGTCCCAGGGCATGTGCATGATCGAGGACCCAAGTAGCATTTGGTAGATCGTAGGCGAATCCCCAATTTAAACCCATGCTTAAGTACTGGTAGTTCGGATTGCCAACAACACCGGTAGTCAAACACACGGCGCACTGAGAGAAGTCCAGATAAATAAATGTGATGAGTATTTACGAATAAATTTTAAAATTACTAAACAATGGTTTAACGATTTTTCATTCCACGCTTGAAGATGACTTATGGGAAGATAAATTAATTTGTTTGATTGGTTATGGTCTTCCAAAGTGATGGCAGAGGAGATGGCACTTAGCCTCTTGAGGTGACGGGAGAAATTAGGGAGAAGAACCCCCATAAGCAGGCGATGCATTTCCTCCAGTTTAATCCTATCGGACGCTGGAAGTGATGGGAGCGTACCCTATTTCGGTAGTCCGCTATCAGCATTGGACGAATATTGAATATTCATGAGTGCCGACGACGAGAGAGATAGCACTGGTGAAAAATATTCTGGAAAATTATTGTCCTACATATTAACCCACAACCCGCCCAGGTGGTAGCCCCCAGTCTTTTCTCTCTTCTTGACCAAAATCGCGCTCACATGATTTTGATTTATTAGCCGTGGCTGAGCGGTTGGGTATATCTTGGATATATCCAAAACTACTAAGAGAAATTTCGGTTGCGGCTAGGCTCAACGTAACAAAAATAAAGAAACGGTTCCCGAAAAACCGAAACTGGATTCCAAAAGAACTGAACAATGGTTCCGGAAGAACCGAAACACGATTCCAAAGTAACTCAAAAACGGGTCCGGAAGAACCGAAACTCGATTCCAGGAGAACCGAAAAATGGTTCCGAAACTGAAAAACGATTCCAAGCGAACCGGAAACGAGAACTACAGAATCGATAATCAGCCACGAAGAGGTCATTGCACTACGAGCAAAAAATGTATTGTTTTGGCGACCGCACCACATTGATGTCGATTCTTTGACTGACGGGTTTTGTGCCGACTCAACGAACACAGGGTGAGAGGAAGAACATAAGCTACTCAACAGTTTTTCTGGCCGAATGGGGCCGAAGGCTGTCAGGTAATCTGGAAGATGCATTGACAAGTGATTTGCCAATAGATACTAATGTGGTGAGGTTGAATTGCCCCAAAATAGAGAACGATGAGATGGAGTTATCTCAACACTTTTCTGTAACCTGAAAAGACCTTCCGAGGCTACGGTCTTAACACCTTCGGTGCTGCAGTAAACGTTCGTAGTTGTATCATAAACTAGTGATGCTTACGGTCTAAGTCTTTCCCTTTTTTGGACGAACACCTTGACCTAACCTAACCTAACTTTAACTAATAATACATAAATAAATGTTTTTGGATTCTTATTTGTATGAAACTTTAAATTTAAAAGTTTCTAAATTTCAAGTTGTGCCACATTCAAAACCAAAAGTCAACAAAGTGGTGTACTTACCGAAAATGATGAACCCAATGGAAATGCCAAGAAGCGTTTGTGGCGAGATAAAATTTGTGTCGTTGCTCTAGTCGTATGCCATTTCTCTTCCCCTTCTTCTGCAATAGTCGCATCAGCTATGCATGCTTGCTTTGTGGCACCACTAATACTCGTAGTGTTGCTGTTGCAACTTCCCCTCTCGTACTGCAATGAGTGTCCAAGCTCCTCAGCGGCAAAAGCCGCATCGAAATCCAACGCTTCGGCTGACTTGGCATTGTTTGTGGCAACGAGAGCAACAAAAACAAACAGAATTATCACCAAAAGTAGGCGGCTTATGCTGTTGTTGTTGCACATTGACAGCACACGCAACATCTTAGCTGGTGGTCGCGGCTATTGTTGCAAGTTGAAACACTTGCAGAAATTGTTGATGCTGCTGCTGTTGTTGCGGCTGTCGAGTGGTTTTGTTGTTTGTGGTGTTGGTGTTGCTGCTCTATTGTTGCTCGGACTTTTGTTACGCCTCCTTTGCGCTACTCACTTGCGAAATGCGTTAAATGGCGACCACAAGCGCGCAGAGTTGAGAGCTAGTGGCGACGTTGTCGTTGAAGGGCGTAATGTTGCCACAACTGTGCGGAACTTGAAGTAGAGTAAAGTGAAGAATTTGGTGTCGCACAAACACAAACACTCACACACATCACATACGCATATGCATTTAGGCAAACACATGCATACGCTTTTGTTGTTGCTTTAATTTTGCATCTATTGTTTGTTCTACGGGGTATTTTGTTACAGCTTTACGTGCCACAAATTCACTTGCCGCCTGGGCATTCAGCAAATTTTCATCTTCTTCTTATACTCGACGGAATTTCTTTCTGCAGCAACGCTATTCGAAACTAGCGGCAATCCACTTTGTTCGAGTGTCACTTTGATTTTGAGTTGAGCTGACGTTGTTTGCCTACATTTCGCAGCGGCAGCGATTGCGGCGTTTGCCTTCTTTTGTTTCACGGCTCAGTGCCACAAACAGATGGAGCAAAATAAGCGCAACAATAAGCAAACTGCGAGCAAAGCAAAGACAAGAAGGAAAAAAATGCCATGGCATCAAAGCAACAACTTCTGGGCATGCCAACTGCAATGCCACTTTAGCCACAAATTGTATGCAAGTTCCTCTCTTTCTACTTCTCAGCCTCAGCTTCTTTTCGCCTTCAATAAGTAGTTGTAGTGTTA